TAAAGTGAGCTTAAAGATGAAAAACACTGCTATGATTATGACAAGTGTCATGGATGTGGTATCGAAGATTAGCCACCAACTCGCCCTTATCTGAAACCCTTTAAGCTTTAGCCACCATGTATCCGTCTCTTTATTCATCACCTGCTTCGGCCTTACAGCTATCTTGTCAGTGTTCACCGGGCTGTCCTGGAGGGATAGGGACAGAAAGGCAAAAAGGACAAATTTACATCCCTGCTCTGAGTAGTGTAACCCTCCCACACCCGGCCCCGTGCTTAGCAGAGATTTTACACAGCTAAATTTAGCTTTGCAACCGTGGGATTCGTCCTCAATTTTAACTCTTAAATGTAGGTTGAGGCTAATGGATTCAATCCGAGTTTATGGCTGGGAAACAAATGAGAAGTGGGAAAGCAGAGATGATCCAAGTAGAATCAAGTAGGATGGCTGAAAAGAAAAAAAACTGAAGCAGAACTTTAGCAAACTGTGCAGCTGAACTATAGGACTTCAGTTATTTACCTTTCAGCTTTAAAACCTTCTGACTTTTTAAATATCCTATTTTTTTTTTAGCTTTATATCATATCAAAAACAAATATATAGATTTAGTAAACATATATTCATTGATCATTTTATCCTAGTATACCAGTATAGTACACGATGGACTGCGGGGCCTTAAATATAGAATACGCAACAATGCGATGAGATTAATATCGTCCAAACGTCCTTTACACTGGCTTTTTCATTGCAGGTGATGGAGATGAATATGGATGGAGCATCATTAAGCAGTCATACACATGCGGCTCCATGTATGGCTCAGACTATAAATACCCATATGGAAAAGATATATATAAATCTTATAAAGTTTGTATCTGTCTTGTGTGAAACTTGTATGAAAAGCATACAAGAGTAAAAACAGATATAAGATCCCTTGAAAAATTGTATAATGAAACTTGTATGTTTTGGATACTTACTAAAACAATATATGAAAGTAATGAGAAAGTGGCCACTTTCATGAGTAAATCATGTAAGCCTTATATGATTTACTCATAAAAGTGGCCACTTTCATGAGTTAAGTCATATAAGTTTTTACTATTTCTTTTCCGTATGGGTAGGTTTCAGCGAAGTTTGTCATGAATGAGTCAGTGCCTTCATGGGTTAGGATCAAAAGATTAGAGGGTGAGACAAAGAAGGATGCAGAGCGCCGTAAACTGTCTGTATGGGGGTCAAGGTCAGCTGAAGCATCCTTTCATCATTTGGAAAATCTGTGTCGAACCAAGTTATGAAATGAGATATGATACGTTCAGCGCTCAGAGCTTAGCTGTCATATTGGTCAGGGTGTTTCGATGTTTAAAGAGTGAATAAAAAGAACTGAACGTGTACGTAGCATAGACTACACATCCAACACTGTATCTGAGACTTTTGTGCATTTGCACTGGGACTGTTGTCAATTTCAAACCTTTATCCATAAGTACTGCTTGAGCACGCAACAATCAAAAAGATTCCAAAACATTTGCTTTAATTGTGGTACAGATGCAAGAAGTTTTGTCATTTCCCATTTTCTGCTTCCTCTATGTTGGTCCATCCCACTCACTTGGTCTTTTTGCGGATCTCTTCCACCAGTTGCTTGATATGGTCCTCCATGAATTCGATTTTCTCCTGCTTCCGAGCTAGAGCCTTTTGCAGACGGACGATACGCTCAACGAGCACAGCCTTGTCGACCTCTGGGAAACTGTCCACAACCACCACCGAAGGGCCCGACTGGCTCTCTGGTGACCGATCTTCAACGCCACTGCTGCCGCCATGACGTGCATTCAAAGAACCTGGAGTATCAATGGGATAAAGACACAGATCACCAATGAACATGTAAGAATAAGCTGTGAAATATTGCTTTCCTGTATGAAACATTGAGTAGATACAATGTTTGGGGGGTTCTTTTAGAAGAAGAAGAAAAAGAAGAAGTAGTAGTAGTAGTAGTATATATCCCATTGAAAGGCCCAATAGCAAAAAATAAAAAATTACAACTTTAGGTGTTAAATACTAACCAAATCTTGGAGTAGTACCTGAGGAACTGGAGCGACTGCCCATACTGCTGGCATCCCGTTCGCACCCTCCATTCTCAACTTGCTCCAGCCTTTTTCGGGCTTTACAGAAAAAGAAAGATTTGTTAACTGTCAAAAAGTGACTAATACCAAGATGTTATTGTCACAGACACTTTGTGAAAATCAACATCACTGACAATTAAATATTATGAAAATGAGCATCACAGCTCAGCTGAACTCTGAGTATTCCTCTCTGAAGGAGTCAACCTGAATAAACATGACACAGGTTGCTTTTGAAGAACCCTGCAGGCTCAGCAAACCTTCCAAGGTTGAACAAAGGCTTCAAATGACTATGCTGATTAAGTGTAACTGCTACACTGATGAAAAATTACTGTTTCTGCCAAGAAAAATGTCCTCTCTAGCTTACAAGACAGCTGAAAGTGAAAGGATTGATCACAGAACATAAAAGTGCTGAACCTTCAGCTCTAAGATTTTTCTTTGCTTCCAGAGAACAGGCGAGGGAAGCTGGCTCACCCTGTTAGGTATAACCACAGCAGGGATCCACCTGTACGCTCATCAATCACTTTGTAGATTCTCCTCGTTACGTGAATCTGTGATAGTGTTCCTCTTTGTTTTCTTATCCAGGTATACTTTTATTGCCCTGACACTATTTTTGCGATCATTATCATGTTGATTTCCAGATGGTATTGCGTTGAGAATCTCTTGAAGGTTTTCTGTATTCATGATTCCACCAGTTTTGACAAGATCTCCAACACCACTATTCCCAAATCATGACAGAGCCTTCACTGTAGGCTGTAGACACTCATTGTCTCCTGAAGTCCTTCATACATAGATGGCAATTTCAACCAATCATTGACCCATTGCCACGGATTTTAAGTCCAATTTTTGTGTAATTCAACTTTTCTTCCAGTTTCCTTCCTTAAAAATGGCTTCTTGACAGCCACCCTTCCACTGAGACCACTTCTGAGCCTTCAGCAAACAGTAGATGGATCAGAAGACGGGCCAGATACATGTGTCAGATTTTTGCTGGCTTTTTCCCCCCAATTCTTAAGGATATGATTTTCAAATAAACTTCTTCTTTTATCCTCAAATTTTTTAAAGCACACACTGCACACCATTCTGAGATATGCCAATATTTCACCTATTAGCTCTTTGGGAATCTCCTTGCTGGTGTTATCTTTGGAACCAAAAAATAAGAACATGAGCAAAAAAAGCAGCAAATGTCCAAAAAGAACTATGAAAGCCCTTCGATAAGCCTGGAGAACTATTGCTTAAGACCACTTTAAAAAAAAAATGACGAGAAGCTGGCTCCCTGGAAGCTAAATCTAAAGAGAAATGAGGTGAATCAAGACTTTTCTGCAGTACTTTATATATGAATGACAAAACTATTGAAGGGTTGATAATTCAATGAAATTATACAATCCTCTATATTACAGTTATTCTGTTGTTTCATGGCAGTTAGCAAAGGGTTTGTCACAGTGGGTGTCTGCACATGTTTGATTTGCACAGATCTCTTTGAGACCGGTCTTCTCCTTAGATGGAACTCGGGATTTTTAACTTGTTAGGCAAATGTGTAAACCACTAAACAACCGAGACGCTGCCATTTTCCATGATAAATGTTTGAGAAATCATCTGCCTTTTCAAACCAACCTTTATTATTATTCTAGACTTTCTATACAAAAACAAGAGATGCATAAATACATTAGGGTATCTGACCTTGTGTTAGCTGTTTTGTGAGGTCTTTGATATTAGCAGCTTGCTTCCTTTTCTGAGTCACCAGCTCATCCCTCAGCTCTTCTACTCTGGTTTTCAGTTGGGCCACCTCCGTCTGCAGTGCTGCCCGCTCCTCCTGCAGACTCTGCACCTCTTGCTGTCTCAGCGCCTCTTCCTGTTTCAGTTGCTGTGACTGCAGGATTAATGGCGTAAGAAAAAAAAAAAGACTAATGATGTAATAACACCAATTATATAGTAGTAATATATATTGGAATGGCTGCGTGATTTAAAAACAAAATTAAAAAGATATTTTAAGACTTTCTCCTGAATTTCGAGCAGGAAAATGTCATTACTTATAACAACACAGTGATCCACTGTATGTTTTCTCAGCTCTGCTTCTACAAATGATTCAAACATTTGATTAGAAAATGTATTTCAATCTTTCTTTAATCAAACCAGGAAACGTGAGCAGACGCTGAAACCAAAACAATTTGATAACGACTTTGAAAACAAAGACAAAAATGAGTTTAGTATCATTTTTATCTTTCATCTCATCAACAAACGCATTGTATCAGATAGTGCATTCAGAGTACGCCAACCTTGTCTTCCAGCAGCCTGTTAGTCTCCTCCAGCTTTCCTTGAAGCTCGGTGAAGTTGTTAGTTAGCTGGTCCAGCTGAGATTGTAGTGCGTTGCTCTCCGACTGAAGCTGAGCGTTCTTGCTGCTCAACTTCTCAGTGAAGCCCAGTAACTCCGCTTCACGCTCTCTGCTGCCTTGTACATCACGGTGCAGGTCAGCCATTTGATTGGTCAGGCCATCCACTTCATCACGAAGCGATTTGATTTCCTGTTCATCGCTACATCCAGAAAACAATAAATAAATCATTAAATGGGCTCAATGACTAAAAACAATAATAATGGCAAGCTAAACATTTTAACTGTTCAATATAATTAAATGTACATGGAATGCATTGCTTATTTAGGTAAGCCTTTTCTTTTGCACAAATATAAAAATGTTTCAGCTTTCTCTACTGTGACTATCCCTTCTTTCTATTAAATCATCTTCACATGGCCATCACAGTCACACAGCCACACAGGGACCAGAGTCCCTTTCCTGCCCTCTATGCTATATCTGTCTCTGCTCTATCTTTAAATGCTCTGATGAAGCAGTTGAGTGAGAGAAAAAAAGAAGAACAGGTAGTATATTACAAACTGTACATTTCTATAAAAAACTGGCATGTCAGCATGGTAATACAGACGCAAGGCAAAACAAAAACAAAAAAAACAAAACAAAAACTTATATTAAACATGCTTGCTCATAGTGAAATAACAAATGTCACTTTTGGTGCATTAAGTATAGTTAGGCCCTTTAGTTGATGTTGTGCTTCAATATTTGTTACTATGTAAATGTGCTATCTTTTATTTATTTCTGTCAGAGGCCACATATGCAAAACTGCTCTGTTCAGTGTGCGGTGGTGTCCCATCACACTTCCTATATGAATGAGTGTGTGGCTGTACCATTGATGCTGCTCCTGAAGTGCAGTCACCTCTTCGAGCTTTTCTCTCTGGCGGCCAATCTCCGTTTTTTGACGGTTGATGATCTCCCTGTACTTGGTCAGCTCATCCTCCCACCGTGGACGCTCATCCTCCAGACACTTTAACTAAAGAATAACACAACTTTCTTGCAGTGAAAACCTGGAGATATCCTGTGTGCCAATGTTCAAACACCTGTATGTCGGACAAACCTTTGTGCGTAGCGTATCAAGCTCATCCATGGCCTCTTTATAGCTCCTCTTCAGGTCTTCCAGCTCTTTGGCTTTCACCCGGTGTAGCTGCCAGATGAAGTAGATTGTCCATTAGATATGCAACCACTGTTTTGTGTTTTGCATTGCTTCTGCAAAAATAAGCTCTTAAAATAAGCTATCAAAAGAATACCCAACAAATTTTCCTCTCTTTTTGTTCAGTCTGGTCAGGTAACTCACATACACAAAAGTTGATTATGGAGTTCCACAGGGTTCTGTCCTGGGACCAATACTTAAAAAAAAAAAAAAAAATTATAAAAACTTTCTAAAGCAATATTATTCTGCTATGCAGATGATTACCATGATAACCAGTTTATGTATGTAGCCATCCAGTTGCAAATAATTGCAGTCTAATTTAAAAAACGCATACAATAATGAGCACAAATCCTCTGCAGCATCTATTTGGTACACCCTGACTGCAAATAACTGGCTGGTTACATTTGCTTACATTCTGGTCATCTTCCTACATAAAAGCAAGGTTGCTGAGTGCCATATCGTGTTGCAATTAAAGTCGCATCTTGCAGCAACAATGTCACTATTTGTAGAGAAATTTCTGAATTTATCTTTTTCAGCTCTTTTCAGAGCTGGATTTAATGTGAATTTCTGTGCATAGAGACTGCAACAGATTTACAGAAGACAGATTTGCAACATTTGCTGATTAATTACAGACTGCATTCAACTTCAGGCTGATACCAAACAGACTCCATCTTATTGCCGTTTTGCCACTCTGAAGATGGCAACTGAATGCGAGTGGTCATAGACCTGTCAAAGTCAACAAGATCACAAGTTGCAATAATTCTGGCCCTGCCAGTCTCCAATTACGGTTTACCCTAATGTCACCGGACCCTTGTTACTCATGCTTTATATTTAGAAAACCCATTATTTGGCCCCAAAAACCTCTGAAATCTAATCGGTGTATAACAATACCCTGCCCTCCAGTACTACTGAGACGACTACGGAGTCATTTTTCACCAGGACTGGTCGTTTGACTTGCAAATGAAACATGCAGTTGGGGCCACACCTTCTTTCACTTCCACACTATACTCAAAATAGGAAACTGATTCACAGTGATGTTGAAATACTAGCCAGCATATTTGTCTATAAATAACATTGGTCAGAACTCTGCTAATTCTGACTGATTATTACAACTTAAGTTCAGTGGTTTTACAAAGCAATGCAACTATCGGTCAAAAAAGAAAATCATACAGTCATACAGAATTTTTAATGCAGAAGCCTTCCTGGGCAACCTGTGTGTGTTATAGTAATCTGTTCATTAAAGTTGCTTTATTTATGCATTCATTAAGCATGTGAAAGCAATGACCATCTTTTTCACAAAGCCATTACCAGTGCTACTGAAAGTCAACTTTCCCCAGAAGCTATTAGTAGACTGTGGTAACCACGACAACATGGCAGTAATGGAGATGCTGGTAAATTTTCTACTGTTGATTCTTACATTTATCCCTTCCAATCTAATGTTATAGCCAAAAACCAATGGAAACTTTGTACTTGCATTATTTATGACTGAGATGCATCATCACTTGAGCATAACACACATACTAAAATAAACACAGGCTTGGACCAGTTTATTCATCAGCAGAGTAGTGACATCTGCCAAAAATCAACATCCATGATAAACCCTGTCCTAAAAACTATTTCCACACAGTATCAGTGATGGCCCTGCAATGTACTCTCCAGTTACTGGGAAGAATAAAATCTCCGACATAATACCTAACTGGATGAATCTCTTTATGATCAAATTTCAGACCCCTGAAGAAAATAAAACAATGTAAAAAAAACCTCTGCCACCTTAAATCCATCAAAATGTAAATCTAAGACCATCTCATTTAAACACAGACATTTTAAGGACTTTCTAGAAAAACAAAAAACAGGCTGTAGAATGAAAACAGGAGATGTGTGATGTATCCTGAGTTGTTGAAATGCACAGCTTCGTATTGATTATTTCTAGGCCATTTATTTTTAAAGTGCATTTCCCTTTAGAGCGGGACGCAGCAAAAAACAGGCCATTGTGTTTGGATTGAGTCCACGTTTGTGCCTGCGTGTAAGGCATGTCTGCTCGCGGAGCGCGAATGCCAGTTTGTTATCTCGTCCAAGTTGAGGCAATTACACCTCTCAAACTGAGAAAAACAGGCCAAAAACATTTTTACTAGAAGAGCTGGCATCGACAATCAATAAAAGGCTGAATAATGGCTTGGCGAATCACAGCGTATGTGTAATTTAGAATTTTTGTTTGTTTTGTCTTCTGGTGGCTCGTCACACAGATAAAAATCGAAATTGAGTCCACAAGTAAAAGTAAACCTTCATTCATCAAAAAGTTATGTCACCCACTGTTGTTTTTGCCGTTTTGCATCAATCGTTGTCCAGGAGTGAATATGGGGATCTCTATACGATAAAAATCAGTCCATCCTCACAAAAGGCAGAGCTAGATTTCTCACTTGGAAAGTCAAAGAAGCCCCACCAATCCCAACTTCATAATCCAAGATTGCAGCAGTGTGAAAAAGCAGTATAACTGCAAAACATAAACTCAGGATGATGTCTCTCCCACCTCAGACATCCAACTTTTAAGATTAAAGAAAGCAACACAAGTTACAAATCTTTAGTTTTATGCAGTTTAACCTGATTATCAACAAAGTGCACAAACGTAACCAATATATTTAAAGTTCCTGTTGTTTTTTTGTCAGTGTCAAAGGCTCCTACTAGCAACCTAGTTTAACAAGTTAATCTTCAATAAAATGGGGAGGGTTTTTTTATTCTCTACGTTATATCTCTTTTTTGTGTCATTATTACATTTTCCACAATTTTTCAGTTTTCAACTCTTGTTAACACAATCTAACAAATCTACTGCCTATTCATTAAAAATCCTAATGCTATAATGCAATGTAGTAAACTGAACTTGACATGCAGATGCTATGTTTTGCCTTAGTAGTGCAAAGTGGATGATAGGATGGGTACACATCTCTGAGAATGTGTTGTGTATGCGTATTTAGTTTCACCTCTAACTGGTCTGTTTGTTCCTGCTTGTGTTTCTCCAGCTCTCCTTTCGTCTCCTTAAGTTTAGCATCAAGCTCATTGGACCTGAGTTCCTCTGATTCCTGAAAGAGAGTAGACAGTGAAGATTTTAAAAAAACAAACAGGGCAAGGGTGCAAGAGAAAAGTCAAATACAGTGTAAAAAGATAGCTTAAAAAAAAAAAGAATAAAAAAAAGAGGGTCTCAGTTGAAGGAAAATATTTTTATAGACACAAATAAGAGGGAATAACAGCCAGTAAGGATTTTCCATTTGTGGTTTATGTCATATTGTTTTATTTTTAAGTCTTACTTTGTGATATGCTGACACAAAAAAAAGGGTAATAATATTTCTACCACAGAGGCAGAGACCAGCACAGCTCTTTGCTACCATCACAAGGTACAAATGAAAAATGCTTTTCTCTTGAAGCAGAATCGGCCGTGCTCTAGTTCAGTTGTTACTGAATAGCATATTTTTAAATTCTATGAAAAGAACAATGCCACGGCAATAGCGTCATGCAGTCTTTGCATGCACGCGTAATAGCACTTTATAGTTAAAAATGAACTTTTGTGTTGGGTTAGGCCATTTATTCAAAAGTAAGCCAACTGATTGCAGTGACAGATACAAATCATGCACAAATAAACACTTATTCAGAATGATTCTGGGAAAATCTACTTCTTCCAAGGTCTTGAGCAATCTGTTATTTTCCCGTGTTAAATATCACAAACCTGGTATGTTCGAATCATGTCCTGGCAGTTCTTGCGGATCTGCTCAGTCTCTTCCTTCGCCTGGGCCAACTTGGACGTGGTCTCTCTCAGTTTGTCTTTAGTTTCCTGCAAATAAACACAAATATGCTTTTGTACTATAGCACTAAAGTACAATTTTAAGATGCACAGATACCTGTTACCACATAGAAAAGTGGCTCAACAGCTGTGACCTTCAGGAACCACCGACTTTGTTTTTTTTTTTTACCATTTCCCCTCTGTTTATAGCCTCATATTTGCTTGGAGTCACTTCAAAAATAAAACCATTAGTTTGTAATAAGACAATCTCAAAAATAGCTATAATGTTAATGATGATTTTCTTGCAGGTCCATTACTGTACCATTTTCACCCCATTTCATTTTGCCTGTGAATCACAAGACGCCTCTAATCATGTTTTTATGGCGTGTCTGCAGACAAAAATGACTGAAGGGGATATAATTTGTATGCTGGCGTAAGTCTTTGACAAACAACAGCTCTTTAAACTAAACGAAATTAACATTAACCAGAAGAGGAATGCTGTTTTAATAATATGGGTAAGGCATACTCTGAAAACTGGAGCTGCATGCAGTCATGTAAATGTGTCATTTTAATTTTTGAATAAAATTTGGCTCTAGCATGCTGAGGTGCACATGCTCACTCTATAATATCATCGAAATCCTGAGGATAATATATGCAACAGAGGTCAAATTAACCTTGTACACCTCCTTTTTTACCTTCATTGACTATTAAATTTAAATAAAATAACAAAAAATAAACACAAAAGTTACATTACCTTGTGCGCATCTGCCTCACTCTTTAACTTGTTCTGGGCCCATTTGACCTTGATGAGATGGGAGTTGATCTCCTCCTTTAGTTTGTCCACATCTCGAGTCAACCTGCCAACCTCCCCTTCCTAAGAACGCAGTTCAAAGGACAGATCAGCAAACAGATATTTGGTTGGGAGTCAACATTTCTTTTTATTAAAAAAAACCTGCTTTTTGTTTCTCACTGATAGCTCTAAAAGGGTCCTACATCTGCAAACCACCGTAGGAAGAATAAATCTATCGCCCACACAATGCTCGCTTCACTGAAAAACTAATATAAGGTCGCTTATGTGATTTAATTTTCACTGTGAAGTACTGTGTATTCAAAGGGAGAGCTATGTCTAGTTTTTTTATTATGTCTAGTGGCAAATTAGGCTGAATTTAAATGAGTTCAAATAGATAAATACAAAACTCTCTCTATAAAACAGAGGCACTATAAAACTGTCACCTTTGCTTCATACAGCTGCTGCAGCCGCCCTTTCTCCTGAGCCAGCTGGTTTCCTCGCAGGGCCTGGCGATCCACCTCTTTGGTGGCTTCTCTCAGTTTCTTCTCCAGACTCTCTTTATCCCGCCTCAAGTCGAGGGCCTCTTTCTCACCCCGCACATATTTCATCACCATGGTCTCCTTCTCTTGCCTCGCCTCATCACATTTCTTATTCACCTGGGGAGTTTTATTTTTTTAATATTAGCAGATGTCAGTTGACACTTCGATCACTGAGATACTCGTATTGTTAGGTCCTTAAACATATCACAAAAACAACTGACGTTTCTCTTGGAACTGTCCAACACCAGATGGCTGAGGCAGTGATTTATCAGCTACCTAACTTTGCCTTCCATAACCTGGACAAGTGACAGACAGCTGGAGAAACACATGCACCCTCCCCAGATGCAGTGGGGGTAGACTTCAGGACTGTCACTGTTCATCTGTCAGCATGTCAGCATTTTACAAATGGAGCCAACAAGCTTTCCATTTGCCAGCTATATTAAAAAAAAATAAAAATCTGCTCCTTATTGAAGGCAATTTATTAGCTTATTATTTAGTAAAGGACAGTAACGCTCCCAGGCTTTTATAATTCCCATATTTTTCTTTTCTTACACTAACAAGGGCTTAACTGTATTTTTAAAATGATTCAGTAATCCATCAACGTAATTAAACAAAATGTTTGTTTTTTTTAAAAATGGTAGGAAATGGCATCAAGGAACCAAAGAAGACACATTCAGTCAGTGAAAGCTTGATAAATAAATATGTGCCATTTAAGCAGCTGATGTGTGTATGGCTGAAACGATAGTAGGACAGGCTCTGCTGCTAGCACAGTTAAACATCTAAAGTAATGTGTGGAGGAAAAATAACATAATGGATGCGTTCTTCCATAATGACATGCACCATGGACAAACAAAAAACATACACTCACCAAGCAACAACCAAAAGCCCGACACCAGCAGAACACGAGAAAAGAACAAGAACCACCAACACCAACCTGCAACGCAGACACAGACACTTTCACGGACAACAACAACAGCCACATCCCTAAGCCGGACCGGTACCGCTAACACGAACACGCTGAAACAAAACAAAAGAAAGAGAAACACACACAAAAAGCAGAAGAAGAGACGATATTTGGCAACTGATCCCCTCACTCTTACTTTGAAGGTTCAGATTTTGTTAAATAGTTATCTCCAGTCCTACACATATTTTCCTTCAAAGCTGTGTCACTGGTCAGTTTAATATCAATATTCTAGAAATCAACTGCTTCTTGAAAAAAAGAACAAAACTCGAGAAACTACATTTCCCACATCACCGTCTATTACAGGTGATGGCAGTTCTTCTTCTCCTCTGTTTTTAATTTGTTGCAAGCTGGAGGTCTGCTCTGAAAAGAATAAGCAGCAAGTGGATAAACTACTTTGTGTGCTGCTATGTATCCTGCAGAGGAGAAAAAGGCTTCTGCCACCCGCTGTGGTTTATGATGGAGCTGAAGTCTGTCAATGGGCGATTCCTCTGAAAGGCAGCTGATTACACTGCTCTTTTATTTATTTGTTGCACAGTACTTGGGATGGCATGTATTTGCACAGGAGAACCTTATAAAATTGTATTATAAATTTAAGAAAAGCTGTGTACGCCTTCTTTCTTGTACAAAAGCACACGGGTCCACCAACCACTGTGGGGAAACTCAAAGGAAAGAAATTATCTTTTATTTGGCACAAAGCGTCTTTAGATTAACAATACCAAATGTTTTGATCCTCGGGGGCTCCAGCTGATTAGGAGCGGGACACACTATTAGTACAAGAGAGGAATGATTCAAGAGAAGGGCTTAAAGAGAGACAACCAAGTGCAAAATCAAACCCCTACTGCTCATTGAACAGTGAAATTAAAAATTGTAAAGTGTGACAAAACTGTCAAGAGAAAAGTCCCTTCCATGGTTTCAACCAGGTGTGCAAATGGTTGGATGAAAATGTGCTTCCCTGCACTATTCGTTTAACAAGTGATTAAATCTGCAATAACAAGAGTTTGCCGTGCAAAGACCTTGAACATTAAGCTGCTAGTTTTGCGCAAACATCTTGAAAGAAAATGAGAATACAAAAGCCTGAGTATTTTTGTAATTAGACTTCATTTTAACCATTTCAGCAAGTACTTTAATCTAAAGACTAACACAAAAATATTTAGAAGAGAATGTGACATTGACATTTATATTTTAGAAAGCCATATCTCAAACTAGAACCTATAGCAACGGGAAAAATGCTTTATGTGCTGCCATGTATCCTGCCCTGATACCCCTATACTCTATTCAGCAAATAGGGGCATTATTACACAATGTGAACCTTTCTTCTATAAACAGAGTACATATAAAAAAAAAAAAACCCTGACTGTTGTGAATAATGTGAATGACTAGTCCAGAGCGCTTTGTTGTGGTTTGAAATTAAACTGTCTGAGATACTGTTTTTTCACTATGCGATCTCTCCCCCAGATGCTGTAACATTACCTCAGTCAGTACATTAATAACACCAACACCATCAACAGGCATTCATAAAATTGGTGGTAGGAATGTGCACCGTTATATCTTGTGAAGCTCAGAAAACCATTTTACCTACACTTCAAAAACAGTGACGCCCCTCCCCCAATCCAACCACTCAGTGCAACTATAATTTACTCCCCCCCCACTTTAACATTTTTAAAAAATGTAAAAACTGTGATAAACCTGACAAGACAGAAACAAGAACAGAGATGCACATAAATTTAAGAATGAGGAAAAGCTAATTTGTGCTACCAGATTATCAAGGATGCAGGTGAAAAATAGGTTCCAGTTGTACCTGTTCAATCCGGTAACCTGTCTCCTTCTGCATCTGCTGGAGAGCAGCTTTAGCTGACTGCTCCTGGTGAACAAGTTTATCCCGCGACTCCTTCAGTTCTTTCAGCAGCTCGTTCACCTTCGCCTCCAACTGCAAAAACAGGAATAGACAGTGTAATCAACTAGTTGGGCAATTTTGAAGTCTGGGCCACACCTGGGATAACCTGCTACGCAGGGTGACAACTGAGACAGGATGTGGAATAACTACATTTAGACAGCGGTTTCAGGGGTTTCAACCCCTCTAGATACTTGTACTGTAAACATAGAAACGAATGACAGACGAGAGCCTCTTCTACCTGAAATATAATCTGTTAATCTGATTGTTTTATGGCACAGTCTTTATTTTTTTATTACATTTCTGAAAAGTAAACAAAATTATGAAATTATTTTGGATTTTTGCTGGACAAAAATGATCCAGGCATATACTGGATGTGTGTAATAATAAAATTACTCCTGTCTGTCTGCTAGGGCAGTGCTTAAACAAACCATGCTACATAGAACATATTAACCAATTATTGTTGCTTCCATGGCAACAGCAATGCTTAACTGAGCCCGATGAATAGAAACTACTTTATGTTTGTAGTTGTAGCTAGGTGGGTAAGCTTTGTAAGAAGCTTTTGTGATGGGAGAAACCACAAAAAAGGCGGGATATTAAAAACTGCATAGAATTCACACAAATGATGATGTTCATGCCCATTGAATGCTGGCGATCAGTACACATCACCGGGCTGTTTTCTTTGACTCGCCTGTTTACCAGTTATACACAGCTGTACTCCAATTTTTAATCAAACTGATATGTGACAGTGAAGGGTACAACTACACAGGCTTGCTTCTCCTATTTTAAACAATACAAAACAGACTAATTATTTTCTTGAATGTACCCTCTAACTAGAAAGGCGCTCAGATATCCATCCCAGCAACTTAAAAACATCAGGTGTGTCCACGGTTTTTGTATTTTGCTTAATGCACCAAGTCACATTCCATCACAAGTGCCAAAACCAAGGTTGAATTTGACAGATCAAAGCATTGCTGACCTCACAACTTTGCCAATTTCAATTGGCTTTTAATAGGCTCATACCACTGAAAAGCAAAACTCCACAAGATAACTTTGGTGAGGATTGATCTGAATATCATTTTTGCCAAGCTTGGTAAAAACCAGAAACTCTTCAACTTTATCATACATGCCAGCACTCCATTGTGGTGCTTTGAACACAGCTTGACCCAACAAATCCAACAGGAAAAAATGGCATCTGGTTCAAAAGGTACTTGTATGAATGTCTGAATACTGATATGTCTGACAAGAAATCAGATAAAAAGACTGAAGTGGAAAATTTTCTCGGTGATGGAAAAATCATTTGGTTAATGTGCTTCCATTAACATTTTTTATAAGTCTCTTGGAAAAAGAACAAAACTTGATGACACGTCCAAATAAATATGGCCTATTAGTTTGGAATATGCTTGACTTTGACCACATTTTTTCCCCTCATTACTTGAGTTTATATCATAAACAGTGAATGCCATATAACCCTGAACAACATAAGAGAGCATAGGGGCACGCTAACCTTTGTAATGGTGGCAAAGTGCTGCTTTTCTGTTTCTGTCCTTCTTTTGAGCTCATCTCTCATTTTGTCCTTCTCTGAACAGATACCCAGGATCAGCTCCTGATGTCTCTTGTTTTCCTCAAGCAACCTGTACACACAAGAAAGCACGCACAATCTCAATTCAGGTCAAGCCCATATAAAGTAGTTTTTGAATCTGTAAAAGAATCTGCTATTAAGGCCAAGAGGCATAGCTGGACAGGGAAAATCTGTGGATTATACTCTGTATTCATCACAAAAAATAATGCTTAGGTTTTGGCATAATTATTCTCCTATGTCTGCTTTTTGAAAGTAAGAAAAAAAAACATTAAATGAGTAGACTGATCCCATTTGAAAGCCAAGTACTGTAAATATGGCACTTTGTAATGACTTGCGATATGAATATGTAGAAAATACCTACTTACTTCTGAATAGCCTTCTCCTGTTGTGCATATTTGTACTGCACACACTTCTCGAAGACTACCATGCATCCTTCCTGGTCCGTGGGGAGTCCATTGACAGGTGAGCTCCCTTTCCGCTCACTTCTATCGTCACCATGCGGCAGCTGACAAGCCAAGAGCTCAGACTCAAGCTCATCTAGCAGTGACTCTTGTGACAGTGACCGCTGGATCTGAGAAATAAGCTTTCGGCTGCAATCAGTGTCATAAGGACTTGCAGAAGAATTTGAGGGAAAAAGGTTTTTGGCACTAGTTTGAGGGCTGGAAGCAAGCGAGGAGCTAAAGGTGTCAGAGATCGGGGTAGAAGGTCCATTAGAAATACCGGAGGTTGTTGTTGAGTCTGTGGGTGAGTTTTTGGAAGTGCTATGGACAGAAGAGGATGATGGACTCTCAGCTGAACTACTATCCTCAGCAGGTGATGGCTCAGTGGGGCAATTTATAACTAAGAGCGATGGCTGTTCATTGCCATTTGGAATGGTAGCATCAAAAGTCAATACGGTATCTTCTGTCCCTTCAAGTACAGAAGGAGAGTTTTCTACTACATCCACAGTAGGTACTGGGGCTACCAAAGTGCTACCACTCTCATTTGAAGGACTTTGTGGAGGCTTCCCACTTTCCACTAAAACAGTTCTGGTATCAACAGGCTCCTCTTTCACATCTGGATGTTCATGACTGCATGTTTGAGCTTCATGTTCCGTCTTTGTGTCCATCTCAGCAAGTGCTGTAGTCTTGACTGATTCACCGTCAAGCTGCAATTCATCTTTTGCCTGACTGCAGGTCTCCACCTCCTGTGCACTGTTGAGAAAGATTTCTTCCTCCTCTTCTGCATTAGACGTGTTGACATTAAGGAGATTCATTTGGCGTGATGCCGTCGTCAAGGACTGAACCTCTGATCCTTCCATCATTTATGTATCTGAAGCAGGACTGAGATGCACCCAGGTCCTCCTCTGACTCAAATCTGTGTGACAGAGAGAAAAAAAAAAGACTGAATGGAAGCAGACCGAAACTATTTATTTGTTTCATTCACACCAACACAGCAGTTTTTCCGTGAACAACCTGAAATTCCTTTAAGTCACAGATACAGCGGTCCTGGATTACGATCATGTTTTCCCTTCCTTGTTAAGCTTAAAATTTCCTCATTTTAGTTTATTATGCAATCAAAAGGAAGCCTAAACTCAAAGAATTTCCCAACATACAGCCTCATTTGCTGCGACACACACACAAAGGGGTGTGGACCTGGAAAAACCTGTGGTGAGATACAGCTTGAAGAGCATGGTACACACATAAGATAGGCATTTCAATTACTGCAAAGCCTGAACTTGCTTTCAAAATGCATGCATTCAGAAGTCCCACAATTAGAAACATCCTGTTGAATGAATTTATTCACTTTCACTTTTTATTACACTTCCAAGGGACTGGTGCATACTCTCCAGTCAACGTAAAGAATAAGAAATAAAACAGCAATGGCTGAGAAAAAGAAATTAAAGACAGTTTATAATTTAAGAAAATGTGTCTGCTAGCAGATTTGCTCTAAATGGTTTAAGGTTAGTAAACAAAGCCGTCCTATCGGAGTCTGACGCCTTAAATTACATTTTTTTAAATTTAATTAGCGTTTTCTCAGCATTTACTGAGTTATTCATTACTATGATTATTAATAACTGGGATCCTTTAAGTTATTCTCCCTTTAACAATGTGTAATCGTGACGCCCCTTTTCTGTTTCATGTCCCGAATCCTCCTCATTTGTCCCACCTCTTTCAATACCATCGTCTAGCACTGCTCTTATACCAACTAAGAGCAGTTACTTTATGTTATTTACACTAATACATACAATCATTCAGCTCACCATTACCCTACAGTCATAAATGTAAGCCTGCAGTTACAAAACGGCGTCTTCTGTTGACGCAGTAAAAGCGCAACAGCTTGAACAGATGCAATGCAGAAGATGCTCTAGTGACAGGTGCCATGCAATAACACAGGAGTTATTGTAATGTAATGTAGGCAGCCAGTCTTATTAAAACATACCGTTAAGTGTCCAAGCTTCCTGTAAGCAGCAGGCCGATGTCCCGCTTGTGTTTACTGACGATTAATCTACATTTCGCTTCATTTAACGTTAGCAACACCTTTGATGGCTTTAGCTCGCTAGCTATTGATTTTGCCTTGACAGGGCTATGAAAACGAAAGGAAAAGAAAGACTGGTGTACGACATAGAACACCCTGTGAGTAAAAAATAGCTACTAACAATAGGTTTAACGCTAAACTACAGACTGATAAACTGTAAGCGTGCAGTTAGCCTAGAAAGCTAAGCTACACTGATAAGCCTAGTGTTAGCTCGTACAATCCAATCTCACGCTAGACTTAACGCAGCTAGCGCTAGCATCGAACATAAATATCAAAGAAAGCTTAATAAAGGCTGTTATAAGTTACCCACCGAGAAGGAAAAACCCATGGTGTGCTTCGATGTGGAGACAATCGGGATAAAAATGAACTTTGAACCCCCCCTGCCTTACCAGCTGATCGCACAACAAGTCAGTCACTTTGATATGACACATCAACAAATATGGCCACTGCAAGAGAACCGATGAGAAGATATAAACCAATGACAGCCCAGTGAGAAATGACGTTTGTCTGACGTAAATACAGGATAGGCTCCAGCCCATGGACAGCCCAGCCCTGACTACAGGTATCTACAACACCCACGTTTATTTTCTGGAAGAATTAATAATATGTTACACATTCAGAAAGAGCGCATATGAGCACAGTAAAACCCCAGTTCTGAAGATGTTGGGATGGTGTATAAAATGGAAATAAAAACTGAGTGCAGTGATTTGCAGATCTCATAAACCCATATTTTATTCACAGTAGAACAATCAACATATATTAAATGTTCAAATTTTAAAAATGTACTTTTTTAAAGGAATAAAAAGGTAATTTTGAATTTGATGGCATCAAAACTTCTTTTAACAAAAGCCCATAAACATTCGTTAACTAAGGGGATCAATTATTGGACTTATGGGAGATGAATGCTGTACGATTTGTGTCTGTCCTGAATCATCTTTGTTGTACATTTTCATTTCACTCCTTTCATTATACTGTTTTCAGCTGGTGAAAGACCTGGACTAGAGGCAGGCCACTTCAGTACCTGCACTCTTCTACTATGAAGCCATGCTGTTATAATGGTTGGAATATAAAGTCTAGTGTTGTTGTGTTAAAACATATAAAGCCCTGAAAAATGGATGAGCATATGTTGTTCTAAAAGCTATATATATATATATTTCAAAACTCATGGTGCCTTTCCACATGTACAAACTACCAACTCCATAGGCACTTAAGCACCCCCATACCATCAGAGATGCATGCTTTTGAACTGAGTACTGATTTAGCCAAGAACATGTATGTTTTCCAAAAAGAATTAAAAATTTTGATTTGTCTGATCGCAGGACAGCTTTTTATTTTGCCTCAGTCCATTTTAAATGAGCTTTGACGGCACATAGAAGGTTTGCTCGTGCTTAAAGTAAAATAGGCTTTATGACACAAGAATGACACTTTTTACTGGCAAAGCATCCTAAGGAAATGTAAAGATACACAGACGATGGCTTTAGATTTGTCTTTAATGTAGATAGTTTTAAAAAAGTAAAAGATAAAATGTAAAAAAATTAATAAATTGAAAATGAAAACAAACACTGGGCACACTGCTTTTAAACAAATGACTTGCACTGATGTAATGAAGTACTAAACAATGTGCTACTCCTGGTACTCAGCAAGTATGGCGTAGACAATATTTGATAATGTAATTGCTTGTATTGTAATTATTTGTATTGTAATTGTTTATAATGGTTGGCAAGTTGAATTCTGACCTCATCTGTCAGCCTGTCCATCACCACTGGAAACAAGAAGTTACTGCAAGCAACAACAGTTCCTCTCTTGGCATCATATCATCTGCTTTGTCTAGATCCACAAAGACAGCTCAACTGCTATTGACCTTCTCTATACGGCTCCACCAACATCCTCAAATAAAACATCTCATCTCTAATGCTTTTCTCAGCACTAAGCCACACAACCAAACTTCAACTCTTTCAGTTCATTTCAATTCAATTCAATTCAATTTTATTTATATAGCACTAAATCACAACAACAGCTTCCTCAGGGCGCCCACGAAGAAAACAGAGAAAACCCCAACAATGAAATAATGGCCTATAAGCAAGCACTTTGGGGACAGTGAGAAGGAAAAACTCAATTTTAACAGGAAAAAAACTCAATTAGAACCAGGCTCAGGCTGCAACCGGTTTGGGGTACTTTCTCAAATTTTCTTGAGAGATTTTCCAGAGGTTTTACTGTATTGATCTTTTGCTATTCAGTCCAGTTACTTTTCCTACGTTTCCTCCTAACCTCTCAATAAAAAGCCAACATATCGCCTATTCCTTCAGTAATTGTTAACTAAACTAAACTTGATTTTGGCTCGTGAGCATTGTGACCTGTGCGACACTGATGCTACTGCGCATGAGCGCAACTTTTTTCCCTTTCTTTTTCAGGGCAAACAACACGTGCAAGGTACGATATTGAGTCTGCGGTGTACAAGTACACTAAAACGTCACGTTTATTGGATTATTTGACAGAATAATGTCTTCAGATGCGTTGCTGGTGGTTTTTATTCGTTTAACGTGATTTTTAAAAAATAGTTTGCTAATGCCTTATTATGTGACCTTGACTCGTGGCTTTAGTAACCTTTAGCTAGCTAAGAATGCTACAGTGCAGATATAAGTTAAGTATAATGTCTTGATACAGTCATTTGTTATGTAACACTGAAAGGTACTGAAATGAACCGCCCATTTTCTCCAAATGTGGTTCGACCAAACCTGCCTTTGAGGAAACCTTCGTCAATCCCAGCGGGTCTTTGCGCTACATTACCTCCTCCAAGACACCTCACCATGCCCAGTGCTCCAGCCGCGCGCTTCCCATCAGGCGCCATTGGGGACGGTAAAAACAAAACAAAAAACCCCAAAATGTGCAGTTATGCTGTTATTCACTGATAAAACTAAAAATGAAGAAAATTGATAATTCTGTAAAAATAATTTGCTCGTTTTTTTTCTTCCTTTCATTTTGCAGGTCCCATAAATTCATCAGTGAACAGGGATAAATCTGGAGTATGTATGGTTGATGGTTTTGTCGTTTGCTAGATCTGTGTGGGGTTGATTAGAAATAAGTATATCAAAGAGAGTGCTCAGGTTGAGCACTTTGGAGACAAAGGTAGAGAGCCATGGTTGAGATGGCATGGGCAGAGGAGGGATAGCGGATATATTGGACTCAGGATGATTTTGGAGGTGTAAGGCAGGAGAAAGAGGAAGACCTCAGAGGAGGTTAATGGATGCACTGAAGGAGAACATGCAGAGGGTTGGGGTGACGAAGGAGGAAGCTATTGAGGGTTAGAGTGAGACAGATGATCTGCTCTAAAAGGAGTTGCCAAAAGAAGTAGAAGACTGTTGAATAGAAATAAAAGTCAGTACTATTTTTGTTTCCCCTTACAGTTGTTGGGATCTGGTCAGCCATCTCTGACTGTGCATTTCTGCAACTACTGTGGTCAGCAAGGTAATATGACAGTTTAAATGAGGCATTGTGTTTATGTGGCAGCATGTTTTTTTTTTAAGCCAGAGGCTCTTAATTTGTTTTTGTTTCTTGTTTATCTTTAGTGATTAGCACTCTCATTTCAGCACTGTTCTTGTGTAAGCATTTTAGTAAAGTCTAAAATAACTGTTCATTCACAGGCAATTTTCGATGCAAGCGTTGTAAGAAGGTGCCTTACTGCTCAGTGGCTTGTCAGACAGAAGACTGGAAGACCCACAGACATGTGTGCAAAGCCGTTGATCCAGAGCCTGTAAAGTAAGCTTGGGCAACACAATGTGCTACTGGCTGACAGTTGTTAATATTAATGAATGCTTAAATATCCATTTTTTGTTTTACCAGCATAGAATGAAATTAGATGGAATGCCCAATAAATAATGTGAAGTTGTTTGTTTATCTTAATCTAAAGAGGGAAACCAGTGGAAGCAGCGGCTGTGCCAGCTAAAGAAGACAGAGCCAGCCTGGGGGAGCTGAAGGTAATTGCAATACTTCACTGATATGCTAATGCAAGTAAAAGTTGAAAGCTTCACATTTGCACAATTTGAAATCAAAACTAAGTTAAAGAAAGTAATCTGTGTTATTATTTTTTTGAATTTGTATATTGAAGCACGGTGAATCATCTAGCCTCCAGAGGGTTTATTTTAAGGACTTGCACGTAACTAAAGTCATCAAGGGAACAGACATCCAGGTAAAATGTATCCAGTTTGCCTCAAGCTTCAAAAGTAAAAGCAGATTTTTTGTGTGTTATTAAATACCAGAATGAGTGATTTGGGTTGTTGCTGCTTTTAGGCGTGTGTTGTAGAGTTCTACAGCCCCAGCAGGTTTTTCCTCGTCCCTCAAAGCCCTGAGTTGCTGGAATTTTTGCAGCGCATCAGTACAGAGCTTCAGAAAACATACTGCAGCTCCTCAGTGACAACATATGTACCCTGTGTTGGAGAGATTTGCGCGGTTCAGTTTTCCTGTGATATGGTGAGCCGAGGCCTTCTTAAGCAAGTCCTCAGGTTGCTATTTGTAATATTTACATTGGCTGTGTTTTGACTTGGGCCCCCTTTTTGTGTGTGTGTGTCTAGAACTGGTACCGAGGCCTTGTACAGACTTTGGCCCCTGACCATAAGATGGCTAACATCCTTTACATTGACTTTGGCAATGAAGAAAATGTCCCTGTGGATAGGATCAGAGCCCTGACGGCTAACATCAAGCCTTTTTGTCCATGTGTGGGTGCATATTTGCACAGTTAATACATTCCCTGTGACATCCTGGCATTTTAAATTTGGTCCTTGGCTCTTTTATTTGCAGGCAATGGAGTGTCGTATCACAGGGGTTGTGCCGGTGGCGGGGAGCTGGTCAGGCGAGTGCTGCATTGCTGTGAGACAGCTGCTGGCTGGCAAGATTGTCACAGTTAGGCTGGTGGAAACTGTAGAAGACGGTCGCATTCATGCTGTGGATATTCTGCTTTCCATGGGTGAGTTATATAAAACAGAGATGCACATTTAAAGGATCTACTGAAGTTAAAATGTTTAAGCCCAGCTCTCGTCCGGTCTCTTTCTTTTAGGAAAACAGTTGAACACGTTCCTCCTTGAACACGGCTATGCAGATAAAGAGCCAGTCAACACCGTGCCGACTGAGCAAGATATCAGTAAGATTCATATACAACATCCTTCAGTCAGTGCAATTTGTAACATTTAAAATGTGTTTTTGTAACCAGTTTTTTCTTTTTCTTCCCCAGATGCCATGATGAGCGCATCTTTGGAAAACTTCCGGTGCCTCTCTGATGGAAAAGATGACAATAACTGGGCACAACCACCGGAGCCAATAACACAAGCAGTGGGTGATCAGCTCTCTGTTGTGGTCACCCACTTCCAGTCACCCACTGAACTTATCGTGCAAAAGGTGGAGAACGCTGGTGAGAAGCTGTTGCTGAACTATTAATGCAACTTAAATCACTCAACATTT